AGGGAAAAGCCTAAAAAAAGAATACTAATGTAGCCACCATATCTAATGATTTTTAAAGACTATGTAAACTTCATATTCTTGATATGTGTCTGCTGTATCATGTACTTGTATGAAAAAGTATCCTGTTCTCTTTGTATTGCTTGCTTTGCATGAAATCCCTGGTGTCACCGGCAATCCCTCTGCTTTCCTATGAAATACTAACCACACTAAACATCAGAGCACAGTCTGGTCAGGTATCTAGCTGTGCTGGGAACTCAGCCTGCTCTCCTCCAATGATCAGCCTTGTGCTGCCCCCCCCCCCACCCCCCTGACAGTCATTCACTGGGAAGACCTACAAAAACTGTAGCTGCTGACTTTTACAAAACAGCCACTCACCTGTCCCTCGGTCCAGTGGTGTGTCCCCCGCAGCTCATTTCACCAGCCTTCCTGTATCCCAGGAGGCCGGCATCTTCAGTGTGGGCACCCAGCTGTGAAGCTGCAAGCTACCCACTGCGCATGTGCGAGTAGCACAGCGCTTCATGAATGCTCCTGTAGTCTTCTGGGACCTGTCACGTGTCCCAAAAGACTGCAGGGAGGGAGGGAGGGAGGACTCCTTCCGCTTCCGATCGCCTAGGTGATCAGACCGGAAGTGGGAGCGGGTACCTGTCAAATTCGGGTACCCGCTCCCCCCCCACTCCCTAAAGGTGCCAATCCTTAATGGGGAACGGGGGAGCAGTCTTCATCGGAACTTCCCCTTTTGGGTGGAGCTCCGCTTTAAGAAGTTTTTTCATATTTCTTACAAGTTTTAAGTACACACAAACACGTACATACACACACAAATATACAATAGTACACCCATGAGATTTGTTTTCCAGAGTATTGTAGGTTTTTTGAAAAAGAAACAAGCCAGTAGTATGTTTTCCCTTTGACGTACTCTGTCCAATTAACTCCACATAAAGCCCTGTCTGACTAGGACAGTGAGGGAGGGGGGTAGGGAGTATTAAGCCAGCCATAGACAGTTTGAACCTCAGCCGGTTCAGCAGAAACCAGCCAAGATACTAACCATGTACAGTATGTGCAGGCTGAATGTACCCAAGTTGACTGATCAATCAACTTGGGCACTACCATCCTGCCGGATTTTACTTGCAATTATTGTTAGTGACTGGTATATCTGCTAGCAATAATCACTGTCTTCTCCTGGTGGGGACAGCTACGCCCTGCCCCCCTGCCAGGAGAATACAATGGCTTGGCAGGCCTGTCTTAGTCATTCCTCAGCTGTGTATATTTTGAGCTTCAGGTTAAAACAACAGCCTTTTTCAGCAAATCAGGTAGGTTTTACTGGCAAACAATTTACTGGCAAACAATACTGCTACAGGGCGGCACGGATGCGCAAAATCACGCATATATACGTGATTTTCTTGTTCCGGGCAGGAGGCGCATGCAAGCCGCATGCGCGCCCTACCCACGCCACCATTCGCGACCTTGGCTGTCAATCACAGGGTCCCAGCCCGTGACTACTCGCCACCACCCGGGTATCGCTGAGTATTACAGATGGGGGAGAGAACTGAATGTAAACAATACAGTTCTCTCCCCTGTCAGGTCCTGCACACTACATAGCAGAGCCATACAAAGCAGTGTGCTGACAGTTAAAAGCACACACACAGCACATAATGTGAAACAACACACAGCACATAGTTAACCCTTTGATCACCCCACATGTAGCAGAATACATTTTGTCCTAAATTTGTGATGAAATTTGATTTTTTAAATTTTTTTATTGGACATGTTTAATAGCAAAAAGTCAAAAATATTGTTTTTTTTCTCAAAATTTATAACGCAAAAAATTAAAAACGCACAGCAATCAAATACCACCAAAAGAAAGCTCTATTTGTGGGAAAAAAGGACGTAAATTTCATTTGGGTGCAACGTTGCATCACCGTGCAATTGTCAGTTAAAGTAACGCAGCGCCGTAATGCAAAAAATGGCCTGGTCAGGAAGGGGGGTAAATCCTCTGGAGGGTAAATGGTTAAAGAGGCTGGTTGTAAATAGTAGGGAAAAAAATTGCAACATTTTCTTGAACAGCTCCATGTACACTGCAGCTGATAAACACGTTTAGGAGCTTTTCTGAATTTTTTTTCAGCAGTCCCTGAACTCTCCCTAATGTTTTCCTATGTGTTCATGTACACAGTTGTTTACAGTCATTTACAGGCAGTTGAGTTTACAGTCGTTTTTTGAACGCACCAAACTTGCGTTCAGGAGAAGATTTTAAACTTGTAAACACGTGTAACTCTTCCATTTCCAGATGATGTCCAGAGCCTTTTTTTCATCATGAAAAATGCATGCAAAGTGTTTTCCTGGTACTCAAATGGACCTGGTACACCATACTTTGAGGTTTCACATGAAAGAAAATATGTTAGACACTGCTGCAATAATTTCTGTACAGAAATGAGCTGGAACACATCCAAATACCACAAAAAAAAAAAAACAGCTAATCTCAACAAATACTGCTCTCTCTGCTTCTGCTCTCTCTATTTCTCTCAAAATGTCTGAAATAGTTAATTTTTTACTGTTTTTCAGTGCATTCTGGGCATTTTGGAAGGTCTCCTGAGGTTATCTTTAAAAAACGCTTCTAAATGCAAATGCTCATAAACGCGGTATGCAAACGCAGCTAAACAGACGGTTTTTAACCTACGTTTTCCAGTAGTCAGTTTCCAGCATTCAGAAGTGTCCCGCGTACATGGAGCCTTACTGCTGAGCATAAATAAATAAATAAGTATATGTAAAACACTATGCATTCACTTTAACTCAGAGGTAATTACTTGCCCACTCAAGATAATGAAGGTAATTAAGAAGAATATGTATTGTGAAGCAACTAAATTGTGGCATATACCAATAATACAAAACCATTTGCGAGTGCAGCTGTTGAAAAACTCCCTTGTGTGAAATTGAACACTCTCCAATTGTTTTAACACCCCTAATGTCATCTACAACAAAGGAAACATTTGATGCAGCACAGTGGCTAAATGGTTAGCACTTCCATGTGGTGTACTAGAGGTTGTTGATTCAAATCTTGACCACAGCACCACCTGCCTAGAGTTTGCATGTTCTCCCTGTGCCTGTGTGGGTTTCCTCTCGGTACTCTGGTTTCCTCCCACTCTCCAAAGACATGCTGGTAGGTTAATTGGCTTCTGTCTAAAATTGTCCCTAGTATATGGATGTGAGTTAGGGATCTTAGATTGTACACCCCTTGAGGGTTAGGGACTGATGTGAATGTACAATATATATGTAAAAGTGCTGTGTAAATTGATGGTGCTATATAAGTACCTGTAATAAAATAAATGAAGACCTGTCATGAAGGAATACAGATTGCTCAAATCTTTCAAAATGTTAGTTGGCTACTGTCGATTCTATGGCTTTTTTTGTCATTCTATACAGATAATCAATGTTGATGTCACTGGCTGCATGCTTGTTCCAGGTCAGAGGCTCAGTTTTATTGAAGTCAAAGGGTTAGAATACCAACCAAGGTCGGTAGCAGCCTATGTTTTTGCTCATGAGAGGCTTCCTTTAACCTAAATTAGGAATTGCAGCTTGATTTTCTTATGGCTGGGTTGATCAATTCTACAGTTCAGAGTAATTTGGAATGTGGATAGCTTTATCTCATGCTCTTGTGGCAGGAGGAGAGTAATCCCCATTTAAATCTGTGCTGAGCTGATGTATAATTTATCAGCCCAGCATGAGAAAAAAAAAGAAGCACCAATTTTTAATTTAAAAAAATAGCAGCATAACAAAAATTCTGTATGACGTCGCCCCAAGGGTGAACTTGATTGCAGAGGTACGCAATCAAAAATCACCTGCGTAGCCTGCATAGAGTGTAAACAATATAAGCCTTCCAAACAAAAAACTGCATGCATTAAGTAATCACACAAGATTTCTTAGGCTCACACAGGGCTTCAAACTACTGCTTGTCAAACTATGGCAGGAAGTATTGAAATATTTCAAAAAAAAAACTAAATTTCATTTAGGCATGTCACTACATCCAATGGAGAAAGCATTAATAAGCAAGTTAAACTAAAAGCATATCAATAAACCTAAAAACAAAAATGTACTGGTCCTTAGATGTGGTGGCTGTATTTGTTTTCTTTTTTTACGGGCTAAAAACAGTGTCTGCAAGTCTAGAAATATAGGTTGATCTTGCCAATACAGTACCCTTGTCACTCCATGTGAGTTGTAAATAAAGCACAAAATCCTTATCTTCCTTGTGTGAACAATAATTTCATCAATCCAACAGATTGTGTTCTTGGGGCCATGCACCCAGCACCCCTCTGAACGAGGCCTTAAAGACTGGTAAGCTGCCATATACTTATTTTGGGGTTTGGACTTATTTTGGTGCTGAAATGCTGAAAGACGGTACCATTTTTTTTTGCATGGAAATATGTATTTTTTTTATTGTAGGCTGTAATTTTTAGGTTTGGATAGACTTTAAAGCCTTCATTTAGTCAAGCAGTTTTTAATATCAACACTCTCAGGGGATCAGGATTTTTGCCCCAGCAGGAGCAAATTGGATCATGCTTTGTTGGGGTTTTTTTGCCTTCCTCTGGATCAACTGTGAATGTAGGATTATAACTTTTTTTTTTATGGTTGAACTGGATGGACGTTTGTCTTTTTTCAGCCAGACTAACTATGTAACACAAGGGACATTACTTACTATCAATGCAAAGTGTCCCTTGTGCTGATGGCTGCTGCTTTAGTTGAAATCTGAAGCCCTCTGAATCCTCCATACCCCACCTGGCAGACTTAATCTCCCAGTTCTGCAGGGATTAGTAGAGCCAATAGACCTGTCACTGGCACGCAGCCCCCTCCTCCATACATAGAAGCTGTGCTATAACTTCCATGAAAAGCACTCTACGAATGGAGGAGGCAGACCTTTCCTTCATCTACCTGCCCTCCATTCATAGATCACCCAAAAGATTATAGCTGCCGGGGTGTGGGAGGATTCAGAAGACTAAAGCATTAAAGTGTTACTAAACCCACAACAGTAAAATCAGTCAGTATATGCAGTAAAGCATGCTTGTTATACTCACTGTGGAACCTAAGGAGTTAATCCTCAGCATTGAGTAAAAATGCTGTTTGATCCTGATATCTCTAACCATTCCCTTCTTCCAGTGTCCCCCTCTTATCTCCTGATAAGACATATCTGTGGAGTCACTCTGCACATGCTTAGTTTGGTGTGTATTGCTAGAGAGTTTTTTTTGTCTTGGGAGAGTGCATGTGATCAGCACAGGGCCAATCAGCACTGTCCAGACAAAGGTCCGGGGCCTGCATCCTCCTAGAACAAAATGAAAACTCCTTCTACAAGCTTTAACCACTGCTCTGCTGAAGTCACAAGATTGCTCTAACTGCTGATGAGAAAAGGTATTTAGCAGTTTATATTTACTAAAATAATTGCACTTCCATGTTGTGTGTACTGTGGGAGACCAAATATAGTGAATGAAGCGTCCTGGGTTAGTAACACTTCCAGTCCGGACACTTTTACCCCCTTCCTGTCCAGGCCAATTTTCAGCTTTCAGCGCTATCATACTTTGAATGACAATTGCGCGGTCATGCAACACTGTACCCATTTATTTATTCAGTTATCTTTTTAGTAAAAAAAAACCAAATTAGTTTATAACCAAAAATTATAATTTAAAAACTTTTTTTTTTAGATTTTTATTTTTTTTTTATATTATTATTTGTTTTTTTTTTTCTACATACTGTCACCCTAGCAGTACAGTGTCACCATGGTGACACTGTAGTACTTGTGGGGGGTGATGAAGATTTTTTTTACTCTGATTGCTTTTACACCCATAAAGGCTGTAAAAGCAATCATTTCTCCTTCTCTTTACTACTGTGTGAGCTGTGATTGGTCACAGCTTGTCACATGGTACAAGGCTGTTGTGAATAGCCTTGTACCATGTGACCTCTGTGATCATTCACAGATTTCACACGTAGTAAGCAATGATGTCAGACGTGACATCTTGCTTACTACTCTACATGTGATCCCTGATTGGCCAGTCAGTGATCACATGATCGGGACCTCGCACAGAGGTCCCGTACGACGATCGGTGTTCCACTGTGTCCTCCAGACACAGCGGGCACCGGATCGCGGTGCTGCGCGCTCCCAGGGAGCGCGCACAGTCCAGAATGGCGGGTGCCGTTTATGAAAGGCAATCTGCCCCTGGAGTGCCACCGTCCTGCAGTTTATATACAGCGGCCGGACAGCAAGTGGTTAATCAGTAGCTATCAGCACATCGGACACTTTACATTGGTAGTAAGTACTCTCCGTTTTGGTTATTTTATTTTAAATGTTTGACTAAACATAGGTTTTAAAGTGGTATTAAACCCAAAAACAAACTTTTATTATATTGCAGTTTACCAATTCTTAGATGTGATCACTGCATGTAAATTTTCTGTAAAACCTTTTATTCGAAAAGCTAAAATCTGTATGTTGTAACTGCTTATAAAGTGTTAGCTGGAGTTTGGCTTCAATTTGTTAGTGTATCTAAGGCTTGGTTCACATATATGCATTTTGTGATTGATGCTTTCTCCAGTGCCTTTTGCAGTTTGTTTTGCGTTTTTGTACACACGTTTTTGATGAGTTTTTACAGCGTTTTGCGTATTTTTAATTGCTGGGCAGAATAAAAATTCAAAACGTGGCAAAAGATCATCATTGCAGTTCCACTGAAGTCTGTGAAGCAACGCAACCTGCTGTGATAAAAAAAATCCCTGATCCTTTCCAAAAACGCAGCAGCCCCTATGTGAACATGTTCCATAAGAAAACCATGTTAATTGGACTGTAGTGTGTTTCTGCAAAAAGCACTACAAAAATGCTTTGGTGTGAACCAATCCTTATTCTACTAGTACACCTAACACTCCCCTTCCCCCAAACTAACAATACTGCTGTCCAAAGATGTCTCTGTGCTCCTTCATCCAGAGTGAGGACATTCTAATACAGGAGGTTTGTTACTGGCCAGATCAGCAGGTGAAAACAGAGGGGAAAAGCTGAAAAATGTAGAGCAAATGTAGCCACAGCATTTAATGATTGGAAAGCTGCAATATATAACATTTTTGGTTTTGAGTTCAATACTGCTTTACCGTTTAGGCCATTTGTAGCCAGTATGCTATTATTATTGAGGAAAAAGGGGAAGAGTTAGAACCTTTGTCAGGATTATATGCTGATAAAATATGAAAGTGCAGCGCTAACTTAAAACAATGATTACACATATGATAGATCCCATATGAATGTGGATCGGCAAAAAGACGGCGTCAGTTCATCAGATGTGCTAAATACGTATACAGTCTCCAACACTTGAGGAGCCAGGGATAGTAGATATCAGAAATGATAAAGAAAAGCCAAGTAATGCACTAACCAGATAGCGCATGTTAAAGCGCATGGGACATTTAAGACCTGTCCCTGGTACTCAGCCACTGTATCACTGGAGCAAGCAAGGCTGTCATCTATAGGGTGACCACTAGATGTCATCTGTCCGGATGGAAGCTGTGTCCAGCCACTGTGTTGATGGATCAGGTGGGTGTCATCTATAGGGTGACCACTAGATGTCATCGGTTCCAGGAGAAGCTGTATCACGGATCCAGGGATGTCACTGCAGATGTGTTCTTGTTAGGCACAGTCCCAGGACCTACTGGATTTACAGGCTCCCCAGAAATAAAGAGCCCGTGGAAAAAGGCCTCAAATAGTGTGATAACGTTTATTTAAAAATGAACAATCAGAAAAGAACTTACTAGCAAAGGTACAGCTGCTTATTTACATGTACATAAGATAAACATGCTTGGCACTTCCCTAACGCGTATCGTGTAAGTACACATCATCAGATTATATGCTGTCTGTGTCACCATTGTGCAGATTTCCATTGTCTTACACTTTTCACCTGAAAAGTTAGGTGTTAGGGTGAAAAGGTTATAAAAAAATTTGCTAGATAAATATGACAAACATTTGCCCAGCCATGACAAATGCTGACTGTATTTTGCTTAATATCTTGATTCCCTATGATCATCAGATCCATCTGCTGGCCATAATGTGGTGTTTTTACTGAAAGACCTCAATGAGGAGAATATGGCCATTATGGTTCAAAGATGGCACTGACTATCATAGGAAATTACTGTATTGAGCAAAATATATGGTCAGAATTTGCCACGGTAAGTTTTCATAAATAGATCCCTAAGTGATGGGACAGCAAAATTGAGATGCAAACAGTCTGACAGAAGTTTTGACTCTTTCCTACATCCTTAAAGGGTATCTACACCCAAGAACTACAATTTTATACTGTATATTGCAGCCTACCAGTCCCTGGATGGGTTCCTAGTTTTGACTTTTCAATCTGTAGCGCTACCCCCACAGGGGCTTCGCCCCACAGCCAGGCACAAAGTACTTTCCACAGCCAGGTACACACACTCTTCTGCTCATTATCTTCAATGACCAATCTAGGGGATGTTCGTCTTTGGAGTTTTATTGTAGAACTGGAAATAGGGATTGGGAATTTAGTAGGATACTCCAAAATGAGAACTACTCACAATGAGGACATCTAGCTGATCTCTTAGTTGAGCACTGTTGAAGTCCTAGCCGAAAGCAGATAGCAGACTTCTCTTTAAATTGTAGTAATAGGTAGCTTAGGAGAGAGCAAAGTCTCTTTAACGGTAGTAGTAGTTGCAGGGCTGAGCTCCTCAGGTGCAGGCCTGTTACAGCAGTGCAAAAGAAATAGAAACGGAAGAAAAGTTCTTTGCAGTAGCAAAAGTTGGACAAGCTCTTCAGAACACCAGCCAGTGTTCCTTTTTCTCAGGCCCACGTTGACTATCAAGCACCAGAGAGGTAGCAAAGCACACAGAGTCGCCAAGGTCTTTCAGTGTCTGTACTCACAAGTCCAAAGACAGAATGGCAGCCTTCCTCCAATCTTCCAAGCGACTGTCTCCAGTGATACCAGACAGATTTTTGGCAGACATCTCCCCTCAACCAGCTTCCTGTAGAACCAGGGTCAATCTTTCTAACTTCAGGCCCTCAGGTCACCCACCCGAGGCCTGCATGGCAGCAACTGCCAGGCAAGGCAAGCCTGCCTCCAGCCTGGTTTGGTGCAATCCTCTCCAGGGAAATACGCCGAACCCATGTGCTCATAGAACATACCCAGAAGTCTTTAAGGTCCTGTTCCCTGGGATTGGCCAGGGCTGCATAAATATTCATACTGCCTTCTGCATAGCTGCACACCCACAGTATGTTCCAGAGTATTCTACCACTCTCTGGAAAAAGAGGGAGCTATCTGACTAGCAGGAGAACACTGAACTGACCTAACAGCTGCCCTGGATACAGTAGTACAGCTAAATTTTCCTGATAGACAATTGCAGCCACACTGGTTACAGTGAGGCGAGCTAAATTTACCTAACAAAACACACCACCAGCTCCACTAAACACAGTGAGCACTAAATCTAACTAATCCTAGCACCTATCTAGAAGGGTGCTACATATGTATTTTTATTTTTTTTTTCTGCTGGTGTGCTCATTGCTGGCTGCACTAGTAATATATAAACATATTTTTTGGTGCAGTTATTGGAGTTAGCTCTCTACACCATCCTACAGAAGCAACGCACCCAATGATTCCATTTACTACATAGTTTTGTGCAGTTCACTGATGTTATGGTGATGTATCCATACAATCTGAGCTACAGTATATGTTAATCTGTTGGGTATTCATTAGTAAGAAACTACAGGTCGGGTGGGTGCTGCTGGACGGGATGAAACCGAAACCTGGTTATGGGGTTATGGAAGAACTGACTTTCTATTGTTACACAAATTACAGGTAATACAATTGCCATTTTTTTTTGTGGTAGTTGTATGACCGCTATACCCCCTTTCTCCCCAAGCTGCAAAGTGAGGGTGGAGACTGTTTATGATAATTGCCAGCCTCCGCTAATGTCACAAATAAAAAAAAAAAAATTCTACCTGGATACTGGCAAAGCATTCTCATGCTGTTGACAGGGATAGAAGAATGACTGATGTCTCTTGACACCTGCTGTCCACAGTTTATGGCAAAGCACGTTGAGTAAGACTGGGAAGGGTTATGTCAGCCAGTGATGTACAGGGCTCATGTACACTGCAGCTGATAAACTCACGTTTTCCTATGTGTCCATGTACACATCGACAATTACAGGCAGTTGAGTTTACAGTACGTTTTTTGAACGCAGAAAACTTGCGTTCAGCAGCAGATTTTATCAGCGTT